TGCCCATCAAATGATTTGTCAAATGATAGTCACTGTTCTTGCAGGGTAGTCACAATTCCGTTTTTTTTTCAAACGTTTAAATCAAACGCGAAAAATACATATGTATATGCAATTTCATCTAAAAACAAGTATGCAACTGCTATGTGTCATTATTAAAACAATAAATAGGCCCAGCGGTTGCTACACTATCGGCACTGGCTTCCCGGGAAAAACGCTAATTAATTTCAACAAAAAAATTATATAACTAGAATGCACGGTTTTGCGTGACTATTATATTTTAAAATGTATTGAAAAACTAAAAAAATCGCACGAATATCAATCAACCACAAATCTGCATACATACGTACATATGTACATTCCTACGTATATTAGGGTGGTCAAAAAAAGAATTTCTAACCTCGCAAACCTGAAGACTTTCGAAAATAAAGAGGCACCTGTTTTTTGTTTTTTAAATCAGTTAACATTTAACCGTTCCGCCGGGCTTTGAAATATTTCATATGGGTAAAATACAGTTTTTCGTAGAATTGCTATAAAATCGTTAAAAATGAATATCGTTTGATCGAATAAAAAATATGTATGTTCCTTCAAAAATTTGCAAACCATAAAATTATGATGCATATTTAACTTTAAAATTTTACTATCTTCTTTTTCATAAATTTTTTTGTGTTCGTAACCACTTCACGCGCGTTTTTAAAAAATATTTAGTAATATTTAAGAGCTAAATTTACATCATAATGCTATTGCTAGAAGATTTCTGAAGGGAAATACTTTCATTCGATTAAAAAATATTTATTTTTAAAGATTTTATAGCAATTCTGCGAAAAATGTATAGTTAACGTTTACAAAAAAAAGAAAAAAAAATACGAGTCTGCTTATTTTCCATTGTCTATAATTCTAAGAATGGCAGCATGAAAATTCCAAAATATTCACTTGACTGTACATTTCTGGAGCACCCTAATGTATGTTTATGTACATATATTTCAATGCGCATACGACGGAGTTCCTTATTGCTGGAAGAGCAAAATTTCAATTGAAAACACGTTCGATAGCTTCACCAGAAATTTTAATATTCCACTCGGTATCACTAGCGCTGACTTTTAAACAGTTGCTAATATGCATTGTAGCAAAAAAAAAACAAAAAGAATATGTAGAAAAATAAAAACATTTTAATATTGTAAACAAGACGTTCTTTTTACTTCTGTTCATACATATCGTTACTTCAATGTGTTTTTTTTATAAAAGCGGCATAAAGAAATTAGCCAAACAAGAGATTTTCTACTAAATGTCAGAAAATTGGCCAAAACTGTAAAAAAAAATAGCTTTAAAAAAACATCCCTTTTTATTTCTGACCAGTAAAGGCGTATAACTATGGACCTCAAAGAAGAAATGTACCTATACAAGTGAAGCGGGGTGTATTAGTTATCAGTCTCTGTTCCGTGCCCCGCTACTAAAAATTATGTACTATGCACGTCTGTATGTATGTCTGTATGTATTTCTCAACTTTCACACTTACCTGTATTAATCTTCGATTACTTAAGCCGTGTGTGTTCCGGTCAAACTTCTTCAAGCAAAGGCGTTTTCTTTCAGCTCTGAGCTGTTTAACTTTTCATTGTTTTTCTTTTGTTGTTTTTTATTTTATCTTTTTTTTAATCGAAGTTATCTTAAGTGCGTGTAGTATAATTTTATCTCTGCCTTAAGTTCGCCTTTGCCGTTCGTTGCTTATTTTGTCACTTTGTTTATGTCAGCGTCGAACTGGTGATCCAAGTGTGCATTAAAAAAGCGACGAGGGCTGAACTAATAAAACCAACAACACCAATTGCACAATTAAAGAGTGTGTCATCCAGGTATATTTATATGTATATATGTATTTGTAGGTATGTACATAAATTTAAGAAATTATAAACTTACTATATGTATATATACATATGTATGTAACTATGTACACTAGGGCGGGTCAATTTGTTAAGTGCGATTTTTTTCCGACTATGCGCGTATAGCACAGAAAAATTTTACGTGTAATTATAAGCAAATTTGCCGAAGAAACCATGGCGCTAAAATCAATTTGGAGTTTGCCAAATTGCGAAAATGTAGGTTTCTTAGCATTTTGTTGTAGAGTCGAAAAGATGTGCTTAGATTTTGTATAAAGACGTGCTATAAGGGGTTTTTTTTTTGGTATGAGGTATCGTAAACTTTTCGCCAGAGGGCGCAACAGTGAAGATTTCACATTTTCTTCGAAACCTATTTTCGCAATTTGGCAAGCTACAAATTGACTTTACTTCGGCAAATTTGCTTAGAATTGCACCTAGAATGCTCCAATGCTATACGCGCATAGTCAAAAAAATTTCCCCGCCCGATGTACATATGTATAATTCATAAGTATATATTTAATAAACAGCAGCAAATGTTAGGTAGTAATTGCAATTGCATATTTTCCATAACCACAAAGACCGAATCAAAGCGTGGAGTGGAGTTGATCCACGGTTAAGAGGTGTCGGCCGATTTTTTTGTTTGTGTATCGTGTATATACACATATACATTAGACTGCATCACCAAAAAAAGTTGCGGTTTTTCCGCCGGGATTACAAAAGCTATTATATTTTAAGACGTCCACCAAAATATTTGGGAAAAATATTAAGATTTAAGTGAGCTGGACCGATTTGAAAATACCTCCAAAAATGGAGTTTTTTATGAATAAAAATAGATTCGTAAAGAACTTTTTGAAAAAAGCCCCCTCAGATGACAAAACAGATTAAGCTTAAAAAATCTGCATACAAATATTTAAAAATATTTTCAACGGAATCGTAAGAATGAGATTTTTGATGCTGTTTTTTTTTACTTTTTTCAAAGATTGATTTACGAAAACCTTGAATAACTGGGCCAAAACTATTCTGATTTAGACTTAAGGGGTCTAGATAGGTATTTTCACACTGTTTTTATTTCTGTAAAAAAAAAAACTCATTCGTGTCCCAATTTTTTTTTTTTCAAATACCAACACATCTTAGTTCAACTTTGAATGACGTTCATTCATCCTGCCTTTCTCTTTCATCCTTTGAATGAGTTTATTAGCAAAGAAATAAAAGGGTGAGAAAATACCTTGCCAATAACACCTCTTAAGTCTAAATCGGAAAAGTTTAGGCTCAGTTATTCAAGGTTTTCGTAAATCAATCTTTGAAAAAACAGCATCAAAAGTCTCATTATTACAATTCCGCTCAAAATATTTTTTTAAAATTTTTTTTAAATCTTTTTATGCAAATTTTTTAAGCTTAAACCGTTTTGTCTTTTGAGGGGATTTTTACAAAAAAAAAATTTTAAGAAACTATTTTTATTCATAAAAAACTCCATTTTTGGAGGTATTTTGAAATTGGTCCAGCTCGCTTAAATCTTAATATTTTATCGTAATATTTTGGTGGACGTCTTAAAATATAATGGATTTTATAATACCAATGGAAAAATAGTACCGATTTTTTTTTGTATGGGGAGTGATGCAGTCTAATATACATATGTGCATATGTACGTCGTAAGTGGTTGCTTAAGATGTGGATCACTTTTTTGTGTATGTCTTTTATTTTTGTCCACGCTTTCTGCTTTATTTTTCAAAAAGTGAAAGAAACCGAATTTTTTGTCAACCCACAATTGTTCAATGAAATTTTTATTTGTCACACAAATTGCACAATTGATGTAAAAATCCACAAATATACATACGATATTTTCAATAATTTCAATAATTTTTGGAGCCCATGTATGTATGTATGTATGTAAACACACTCTTACGCACTTATTTAATTTAAAAGGTAAATGGCTGTCATTGCAAGTGGGTTTCCCCACGATGAGGGTTCTCGTTATTCGCCAATTTTTTTTTCGATTTAAAGTAGCTCTAAATAAGCCGGTATTTAAAAAAAATAATTTGCTATATCTTTCGCGTATTCAACCGGTTGTTTTGCACTATTTGACCGTAGACGCGCTATGTGATGATGACCGTATTTTCGCTCCTTTTCATCAGCCGTGCTAACAACCGCGCACATCAATGTTTTGTACTCAACTGAAGCGTTAAGAAGTCACTAGCGAATGATTGCCCCTAAAAATTCCAACAGCGGATCCATCGTAGTGGCGTAGCGTCTCGTCGCTGTCAGCCTAAGCGCGCTCATCGCTGCTGGTCATCGTTTGCTTATTATTTCAAATCGCTCCCCTAACAGTGGTGTAGATTTGTGGTTGGCTGTTGATGGGTTAATAATGTTGTTGTAATTGTTCTGTGGTGAATTTTGCAGCAATTGTGAACAGCAACACATGCAAATTGGTGTGTAGGAATGCACGGCCGGCCTTAACCATCTTAAGCTCCCCGGGTGAGGCATTCATTTGGCGCCCCTCTCATATTATGCTTAAGAAGCATTCATTCTCTGAAAAAAAGGAAAGTCTAGCAAAGTGAGGCAGTCTGCCCAATAAGTATTCCTTCGTCTCTTTCCCATCAATTTAGGCTGGGTACGCCATTCTTCATGGATACATTTCGATACTTTAGTACCCAACTAGACCTTCTGAGACTGAAAGCGCAGGAGTCTTCATTGTCTGAAAAATTCACACAATTCTCATTTCGGTGGACGAGTTGGAGTCAATTGCAAGGATTATTTATATCTCATTCCAATTTCATATCCCATGTGATTTGGCGCCCAGGCTAAGCCAGTTCGCTACTTTCGACTCGGTACCATGCCGTTATCCATTTCTTCCTCTTTGCAGCTGGGTTATAAAGCATTCCTTTATATAAAGATAGGATTGCTGAAATGCCGCCAGGACCCAATGTGAATCTTCTATAAAAAGTATAGCATCGAGAATTGCTACTAAACAGTTTACTCCGAAAGAAATATTAACTGTGATAGCTTTAGATGTGGGTGCTGGACAGCCAACTCAG